AGGAGAAGCTGATCCAAGAGTTCTTATGCCAGTCTTTATTGAAAATGCATTTTATTTGCTTGCCTATATTTGGAGGTTGTAGCATCATATGAATCTTAGCTCTTAAGTATTCCTTCATGTCTCTCTTTATTTTCTGCAAGGCAGAGAAAGCCAAATCTCTGAATAGACCTGAATGTATTTAGTCTGAGTGGATTATTTTTAGTTTTAATAACATAGATTTTGTTTGATCTGGCTGAGCAAGGTGAGTTTGTGTTGATGGCTTCCTAACATTATTCATCTCTCTCTGTTGATCTTTGCCTTAGTCTTTAGGAGACAGGATCAGATTTTTGCCAAGTTATCCCTAGAGCTGTACTTTATAAGGAGTGTTTCCTATAGAGAAGAGGAGGCTCCAGGAAGGACACACATCTCAGACAAAACATTACAGCAAGAATGAAGAGAGTGAATGTTCACCAGGTACAAAGAACTTCAAACAAGAACTTAGATCAGAATTCATGAAGTTAGGAGATTAGGAAACCCTTTCAATAGCATGTGTGACTGAAGACTAAAATTAATTTTAGGAGTTTGCAATTTCCCATGAATATACTTTCTTGAGAACAGCTTAATGAACTTCTGCCTGGAGTAGTTCTGTTTTGACAAATCCATGAGTCCTTTGTTGATTTTGTCTTCCATGACTTAAACCAACTAAACACTCTTAAATAGCATTCACAAAATTCTGAAACTTGCAATAGTTTTTTATTAATTTGATATATTTTTTTCTAATATAATTTTATGTATTGACTTGGCCATGAAATCTCATCTTGGCTTCAGATTTTCCGGTGTAAAAGTGATGATTGGCAATAATTGTTATTTCTGGTTTGTTTCTTTTGTGGGTCTTGAAGCATATATTCCAGCCTTGCTCAGGATAGGAATCAGAGTTATGTTTATTTTACTTTTTAAAATAGTTGTCACTAATTACTGTTATTAAAATCTGTTGGATGTTTAGCCCACTTTTAGGTGTTCTAAACTGATATAAATTACTTGCAAAATAATTTGTCATTTCCACTTTTAAGTGTGTAGCACAAGTGTGTGTTGGATGTTCTCACCTCTTCTTGCATTATTAGCAATTTTCTGATCTGTAGCTAAAACTCAGGGTAAATTTCTGGTAAGGCTCTTTTTTTTTTCCTTTTTTTTTTTCCTCTTTCTTCTAATTTCTCCAGTTGCTTGCTGAATGTGTGTGTTGAGCTACTGGGATCCATGGCACCTTCTGACAGGAAGTTTAGCAGGATGGACTTCTTGTCCCCTTTAGTTTTGGACGGGACTTCTTTTGAACCTGTAATAGCAAAGTTTAACAAGATCCTTCCAGCTCTTGCTCTGTGGCAGTCACTGCATTGGCACCTTACATGCCACTTAAGATTTCACAGTTATATGCCTGCTCCTTTTTACTCCAAATTCTGTGTATTATGGCTGAAGAATAATAAGGTTTTTAGCTATTTTTATGTGGAAACACTTCCACAGCCTCTCTCTAGGCATTATTTTGCCTCTTATGAGCACTGAATATTTTGGTGATCTCCAGCCTCAGTCTGGCTGTCTGCAGTTTCCTAATCATTCCCTGCTGCCTCCAGACCCCTGGTGATGGTTGGCTCATCCTGAGGATCATTCTGCCTACTGACAAGGAGCAGAATTCATTCCCATCCCTGTCAAATCCTTGGATTCATCCCCATTTCCCAGTACCCTTCTCGTTACAGCTTTTCAGCACTGTGGCTTTTAGGGTGCCCCAACCCTGCTCGGGTTCTTCACAGGCTGTTAATGGCAGGGTTGTCTCAATGGCTGTGCCAGCTGGGCAGGGTGTGGGGGTGTCAGTGCTGCAGGGCAGGGTGTGGGGGGTGTCAGTGCTGCAGGAACAGGGTGTGGGGGGTGTCAGTGCTGCAGTGGGCAGGCTCTGTCCCTGGGGAGCTGGGCAGGGTATGGGGTGTCAGTGCTGCAGGGACAGGGTGAGGGGGATGTCAGTGCTGCAGGGACAGGGTGAGGGGGGTGTCAGTGCTGCAGTGGGCAGGCTCTGAGGGGGTTGGGTCAGTGGGCAGTGATGGACAGGGTGAGGGGGGTCAGTGCTGTGGCAAGTGCTGCAGGGACAGGGTAGGGGTGGTCAGTGCTGCAGGGGGGGTGAGGGGGTGTCAGTGCTGCAGGGACAGGGGGGTGTCAGTGCTGCAGGGGCAGGGTATGGGGGTGTCAGTGTGCAGTGGGCAGGGCTGCAGTGGGGGTGTCAGTGCTGCAGGGGCAGGGTGAGGGGTGTCAGTGCTGCAGGGGCACCCAGGGAGCTGGGCAGGGTGTGGGGGGTGTCTGTGCTGCAGGGACAGGGTGTGGGGGGTGTCAGTGCTGCAGGGACAAGCTCTGGCCCTGGGGAGCTGGGCATGGTATGGGGGGTGTCAGTGCTGCAGGGACAGGGTGAGGGGGGGTGTCAGTGCTGCAGGGACAGGGTGAGGGGGTGTCAGTGCTGCAGGGACAGGGTGAGGGGGTGTCAGTGCTGCAGGGACAGGGTGAGGGGGGTGTCAGTGCTGCAGGGGCAGGGGGGTGTCAGTATGGGGGTGTCAGGGGCAGGGTGAGGGGTGTCAGTGCTGGCAGGCTCTGTCCCTGGGGAGCTGGGCAGGGTGTGGGGGGTGTCAGTGCTGCAGGGACAGGGTATGGGGGTGTCAGTAGTGCAGTGGGCAGGGTATGGGGGTGTCAGTGCTGCAGGGGCAGGGTGAGGGGTGTCAGTGCTGCAGGGACAGGGTGTGGGGGGTGTCAGTGCTGCAGGGACAGGGTGAGGGGGGTGTCAGTGCTGCAGGGACAGGGTGAGGGGGGTGTCAGTGCTGCAGGGGCTCTAGGGATGGGCAGGGTATGGGGGGTGTCAGTGCTGCAGGGACAGGGTGAGGGGGGTGTCAGTGCTGCAGGAACAGGGTGAGGGGGGTGTCAGTGCTGCAGGAACAGGGTGAGGGGGGTGTCAGTGCTGCAATGAGCAGCTCTTGGCCCAGGAGCCGAGTGCACGTGGTTCTGCTGCGGCTCGATGGACCCCCAAGCCTAACACTTGCTGAGTCTGGTAACTAGTGACAAAGTGATGGAGGTTTAAATGTTAAAACCATTGTAGATGTTTCCAGAAAACTAGAAACCTGCCTGACTTGCTCCCTGGCAGAGGCTGGCTCTGCTCGGGCAAGGTGAGCGGCCTTGGGCCTGCAGGTGACCAGAGGAGGCTGGGCAGGATTGAGGAGCTGTGGGAGGAAGGGCCGTGTTGTGAGATACACAGGGACAATTTGGGATAGCAGAGAGAGAACCAAAGGACACGTGGGTTTTAAGCCATGAGAAATACCAGCTCTTCAGTGCCGCTGCTTTATAATTGCTTTTGTGGTGAGTGTGATGCTGGTAACTTGTGACTTAATTCTTGTGCTTTTTTTTATGGCTGTCTCCCCTTGAAGGGGAAGAAGACAGTTTGAGTGGCCTGTGGAGTGCCCTTGACCTCAACAATGAGGCTTTGATTCAAAAGGGATTAGGAGTAATGGGTTTTAAGCATCAAGTGGAAAACTGAGGTGTTTACTTATTGTCTTTCTCTGTGACTAACATACCTATGTTGTAAGTGCTGGGGCCAGCTCCAGGTAGCCTTTTCCTGCTCTTCTCCCCAGCAAAAGAGGTAAGGAAGGTTGTTAGAGTGCTAGACTTGATTAAATTTTTGGTGACAAACTAAATGTTTCTTTAACTCTTCTCATTCTGTGGGGTTTTAAGTTAATGTTTGGATCTGTTAGTAACAACTAAATATTAAATCCAGAAAATTTTGGCAGTACAAAAGCCCAGCATCCCCAACTTTTACCTGACATAGTATTACCCCAGTGAATATATTTCGACTATTTTCATCCTTAATTGTAGTAATTTCTTGCAAGATAAAATTTTATGTATTGCAGGCTTTTAGTAGTTGTTTCTGTTATGAGAACAGGCCAAATCTTACTTGGAGAACTTGGGACCCTTAAGATGTAAACGCTGCTGTTTATTTTTGAGGCTTCTGTTTACTCTCTTGCATGGCTCTGGCATTTTTAATCTCTCTTTGTTCTACCAAGTGTTTTCTGTGAACAAGCCAAGGTTGTGTTCATCTCTGCCTTACTGCTTGATTCTTTAGATATTTTGTCATAAGACATTGGGAAGCTTGGCCCACACATCTCAGCTGGGAGCACATCCTTGGCTTGCATGTTATCCATGGACTATAATTTAGTCCTTAATCACAATACAGTTGTTTGGGCTCAAAGCCCATAAGTTTTTTACTCTTCAGATGTGTGCAGAATGTGGTAATGCTTGATTTTTGTTCTACAAGCGGGGATGTGCAGCATTAAATGATGTGAAGAAATGACAAGTCTGTGGCAGAAGTTCAGCAAATACCAAATTGCATTAGGGTGCACTAGTTATCCTGTCACCTCCCTCCTTGAAATAGATGTGCAGACTTCTTTATTTATGAAAGAAAGCATTGATGTTGCTTTTTGGATAATTCACCATCACGTGAATCTGAAAGGATCACCTGTCTTGTGTGAATGTTAAAATCGTTTCTGTGGAGAGTTTTGTAACCAACCTCACCTCCCTGAAACGTGAGCTGAAGAAGCAGCGAAGGACAGTTATTTACAGTAATTGTCTATTTAATTTTTATGTCTGAATCTGGGGGTAAAAGCTATCAGCTGTCTTTAAGTGTTCAAGAGAAGGAGTTAAACTCCAGCAGCCCTGTGGCTGGCAAAATGTTCTTTGCCGGGGACACAGATGATTTTGGCTAACTTTCAAAAAAGTGCATTTGCTCCACGTGATGCTTTCTGTGGGGAGGGGAGGCTGATTCAGTCAGCAGGTTGTTTACATAGTTCCTGGGTATTTTAATTGGTGCCTCAGCAGCGAGCAGCTCCTTCTGCCATACTGTGAGAACAGCGGAATTCAAAAAGGGGTTAGCAGATGCTCTCAGTAGGACAACTGCTCTCTCCTGTCGCAGCCTTGCACTGAAGGGACGTTGTCTTTTCTGCTCACAGTCCCCTGCAGAGCAAAAAGCTTTGTCGGATTCAGGCGAGGACCCCCAGGGAGAGGTTGAGCCCCTCCACCATGGTGTGGGTCATACAGAACCAGCTGGTGAGCGCGACTCTGAGCACCCTGCTCCCACTGTGGCCTCAGTCAGTGCTGCCCTGAGTCCCGCTGCTGAAGCCCAGCTTGCTCCTATTCAACAAGAACTGGCAGGGGTAAGTGTCAACCTACCAAGTCCTTCTGCTGCTGAGGGGATTAGAGGAAAAAGTCCCTTCCACGCAGTGGAATCGGTGACTGTTCATTGTAGGCAGTGCAGCTCACTGTCTGTCTGGTTCTTTGATCTCAAGTGTTAGTCCTCTCTAAGTTCCAATTAGCAGAAATTAGATTTGTTTGGCTCTCACTAGCAATGTAACTCTAGAAGATGCCTCAAGTATTTTAAAATTTAGGGTGTAAACTGTGTGTTTGCTAAGGATGAGAGCACTTCTAAAAGAGTGAGAAAGTGCATCTGTATTTGTGGGATTTGCTTTAAGCAGTTAGAAGGGAGCTCTTTGTTCCATCTGAGCCATAATGCTGCAACTTGACAAAGCCAGCAGTTAATACTGTGTTTCCACTGGATATAAAAGGAGCTTGTCATGACAACCTGTAAGGTACTTAATAGATTAAAAGCACCAAGAATCACACTGAAGCAGAACTTTGAGTTTAAGTATTGGATGGGGGAGGAAGTCAGTACCTTGCGGTTGGAAAAGCTGTCAGAGCTCATAATTTAAGATTTTTCTACTGGTGGTGCAGCAAAATATTTTCTGGAAGATTAAATGACTAAATGGCTACTGCTGTAGAGTTTTTCAGAGCAATTTTAGGTGTTCCTAATCTTTCTGGTTGGTGGACTGTTCACTGTGACACCACATCCTAGGCATGTGCTCTTTGCTAGATCTTTGCCTGTTAAGGCTGCTCCACCCAATACCTGCACCCTTTTCTTGGCTAGTTGGTTTGGGTTTGTCTTTTTTTTAATCCAAAAATGGGCCATTTCCAGTAAACCCAGTGCTGAATGGATTGTCATGACAAGGTGCAAATAGCTGTAGGTTGGGCACATTTCCATGTTCAGACTGTTGCTTGATGACCTGGTGCAGAAATCCTTCTGTTTCAGATTCTTTGGTGAAGATGAAATGTTTCAAGGACTAAAATATAGCTGGTCAACGTAGTCACAGCCTTTTATCTCAGTTTTCTGTCATTTGAGATTGCAGTGTTACTAGAGCTGTCCAAGAGAACTGCATTAACCAGACTTTCAGGAAAACTGCAGCAAGTGGTTATCTTAGTCTTATTCTTAGCAGAAAATCTTACTCCAGTTAACCCAGTTCTGAAAGAAATTTAAAAACCAAAACTGCTGTTGGGGATCATCTGCAGGAATTCGTGGCAGTACAGAACAGCTGTCTCAGCATCCTTGAATTTGACTCCATTCAGTTAAATTTATGGAATTGTACAGTGCTCAGCAGGGGCATGTAACTGGCCTTCACATGCACTGGCAAGCACTCTTCCAATTATCCCAATCTCTTAGAGTGAAACCATCTCTTACCTTGAAATACAGAGAAGGTTGGCACATCTTCAGGGTGCTTGTACTGATTTGCTGGAG